AATTCACATAATGTATCTTTTGTTCACAATTACTGATATATTTTTTTAAATTTTATTAGTTGTTTTTAAAATAAAATAAAAAAATAAAACTCTAAGAATTTATAAATGATAAGCTATAATTATAAAATCTGACGTAAAAAACTTGAAATCTCAATTGAAGATGATATTAAGTCTTATTCTGATTTGATAAACACCGATTCAAAGGTAAAGACTATTGGTTGTTAATGATAAGTAAAAAAAACTAGAGTATTTCTTAAAGGAAGAGATGGGTAAAAAATATATATGATGAAATGGAATGTCCAATGTTTTTTTTATAAGCGAGTTGCTATGGTTAATAAAAAAAAAACCTTCGAAAGAATTGGTCTTATTTTGCATTAGAAAAAAGGGGAAAGACCACCGATATTGACATTATAACAAAGATGCTAATCAAAGATTCAAGACTAAGGGGCCTCTAATTTTTTTTTAATAATAAATAGTTGCAATGATTAAACATAACATAGATTTTACTAGTTATTTCATCAACAATTCACCACATGTCATTTTTCTTAAGCTAATTGAGATTTGACCATAGAATTATTGAATTATATTTGAAGAGTAGGGGATGAACTATTATGTAATAGTAAAAAGAGTTGAGATCTTTGTTGAATTTAAATTTATATAGAAATATTTTTTTTGGTTTATACTTTTTACTATTAGATACTGTCCTTAAATCTTATGATAGGTACCCAATGAAAGAATGTATAAATACAATGTAGCAATCAATAAATACACTAGTCTCTACTTATTTCATTTATAGAATTGTAAAAACTTTACTATGAAGTTTTATATATAAGGAAAGACTTGGTAAGCACGACAATACACTAGTTATAGAAAAATTATATATAAAAAGACACAATTATGAAAGGAAACTATGTATTTATTAAAAAGAAATCAACCAGAAACTATGTATTTGTTGGAAAGAAATTAATTAAATCAATCATCACACGCTGAACACCTGATGATAGTGTCAATCTCTTAATTGTCTTGTTTAACTCTACCTCGCAAATAAAAAGGGGTTAACACACAATGAGCTTGGACTTGAGGAACTCAAAGCGATTCGAGGTAAGACATTTGATGAAAATGTCACCAATATGATCTTTGAATGGTATGTAGTGAAGGTTAACATTTTGATTGACCTCATGAATAAAATGGTAGTTAACTTCAATTTGTTTTGTGCATGTATAAACTGAATTAAAGGCAAAAATAAGTGCATTTTCATTATCATATAACATAATAGGTGTTTTAGGGAGAATAGTTTGTAAATCATATAAAACCATTATAATCAAATATAACTTAGCAACTACCATTATGAGAGCATGATATGATGTCTTTGCCCTAAACACAGACTCCACAAATTGTTTTTTGGCACTCCATAAAACAAAACATGGACAAAGAAAAATGCCCTACCTCATAATTGATCCTTGATCATCCATGACTCTGGCCCAATCAGTATCACACAAAGGGCAAAGATCAAGTGCCTATAGGTAAAGTGTGGTCTATAATCAACCATACCCTTTAGATACCAAAAACCCTTCTCGTTGTATCCATTGTTTAAAAGTTGGTGCATGAAAGTGTTGACACAATTGTTTCATGATGTACCCAATGTCTGACTTAGTTAATATACAATACCAAATCATTCTTACAAGTTATTAATACTCAGTAATTTCATGGAGAGAATCACCAAATAAAGCGAACAACTTGCAACCAATCTTAGTCTACTATGGTGTGTAGTTGTATTGTTTAATACCTAAAGTCCAAGATAAACTGAAGTTTTTAGTCCTCCATGACTTTGATCAGTCGAGGAAAGCTATTTTTATACAAAAATATTCAAAATATAAATAAATAAAAATTCATATAAGTATCTAATTAAATAAATTGATAATTATATATATTTATTTAAAAAATAGTTAATAATAACTAAAAATCAAACAAATAAAATTAAGAGATGGATTTGATTTCTTTCTTTCATGCATATTTGTTAGACAACCTTATCTAAATTACAATAAAATCCACGATTAGAAACAAAACATTGTCCTTTGTATAAAATTCTTTATCAACTACAAATCCAGCTTGTGTTATGGCTGTCAAACTGACACTCATGATAAAAAAGTCAATTTCAAGGAAGAACTGATCCAATAACCTCTATATTATGCACACACGTGTTGATCACATCACATATTAAGGAGCTCAAAATGGTGTTAAAGCCCCTTAGTTTTCTAGCTATATGACATCCCAAGCACCATTTTATTTCCAAACAAGCCTACCATCTTTTTAAAATAACCATGTTAACCCTCTAGTCCAATCTAAACATCATCATAATTTTCAAAACTAGGTTGACAACTTTTATTTTGTTTTTTTTCCCCAAAATGACGAGCCATCATAATAAAAATGCTCTTATAATACGGCTACAAGACGTTCACAGAGGAAAGATCGTTAAAACTCATTGATTTGGCATACAATATAGCACTTATAAAGATTAAAAAAAAACAAAAGGATGAATATAAGGAATTCAAACAACTAAAAACATGATGAATTAAGTCATCATCCTTTACAGGTTGTCCAATTATACCTAATTGATTTTCCCATAACTTTTCATTTAAAGGTATTCTCCACAACTTTTTATTTCTTGATATAAAAATTGCAATTGACGCTTTAGGTAATTAATGCGGGAACATGATTATGAGACATTATTGTTAGTTAAGGCAAGCTTATTTATACGAACAATATAAAAACCAAAGGTTATTGACACAACCTTTTAATCCAAAATGGCATTCAACCAAGTGAGAATGAATTAATCTTTTTTTTTTTCATAAGAGAGAGGTCCAATTAATTGTAGAAGTGAAAGTTCCAGAGTTGCTAATGGCTAGAAGAAGTTTAGGCGGGCATGATTCAGTAGTATCCACGAAACCTGACAAGTCATTACTTTGTAAAACCAAAGTAATTAGGAAATCCAATTAGATAATTTGTTTGATCTAATCATACCGAAGTCAGTTGTCTAATGTTTAAGAGATTAAAAATGGTGAACGAGGAAGATATTTCTGTGGAAATGTATAAGTACACATGAAAAAAAGGTGTTTGCATGTATAACTTTGATACCATGAAAGATTGTATGAACACAATGTTGCAATCTATGCCTACACTAGTCTCTACGTGTTTCATTCATATAATTATAAAATATATGATGAAGTTTTATCTATAAGAGAAGACTTGATAAGGTTGACAACACACTAATTATAGACAAATTCTAAATAAGAAGATACAATCGTAAAAGGAAACTATTTATCTGCTGGAGAGAAACCAACCGAAATAGATATCAATTAGATAACTCTAATATTTGAATTGTCTTGTTTAACACCTAAAGTCCATGATAAATCGAACTTTTTAGTCTCTTATGACTTTGATCAGTCTAAAAAAGCTATTTTTATATCAAAAATTCAAAGTGTAAATCTAAAAACTCTCAAAAATATATAATTAAATAAATTAATAATTATCTATATTTATTAAAAAACAGTTAATAATAACTAAAAAAAATCAAGAGATGGATTTGATTTACTTCTTCCATGCATCTTCGCTAAACAAACTTAATTTAAATTATCAAAAAATTCATAATTAGAAACATAACATAATTCCATTTGTCCTTTATACAAAATTCTTCGTCAACTACAAACCCAACCAGTGTTATGGTTACCGGACCGACATTCAAGAGAGAAAACTCAATGGACATGTTTGTTTTTATGATAAAAGCTATATTTTAAAATAATTTATTTTTTTTACTTGAAATTAATTTTTTGAGTGTTTTTGGATTATTTTAATATTATAATATTAAAAATAAAAAATAAAAAATATATTATTTTAATATATTTCAGAATAAAAAATAATGTAAAAAATAATTAATACCACAATATCATGTATTATTAAAGAATTTACCCAATGAATTTACCCAATGAACTTTGTATTGAAACACCCATACATGCGTATATCACATCACACATTAAGAATATTTTTTATTTATTTTTGCATTTCAAATATGAATTTAAAAAAATTAAGTTTTTTATATTTTTTTACTTTAAATTAATATTTTTAGATTATTTTAATATATTAATATCAAAAATAATTTTTTAAAAATTAAAAAAAATATTATTTAATTTATTTTTAAATAAAAATATTTTTAAAAACAACAATAATCAAACTCCCTGTAACGTAAAACTTCCTTCCCTCCCGGTTCTCTTGCTAAACGACATCCCGTTTAACCTCTGTCTTTCCGAAATTACAAGATTAACCCACGGTCCAATCCAAACATCATCGTAACCGTAATGACTCAACAGTAACATTAATTTTGTTCCCCACGAATCACGTCTTTAAAATCTCCACACCAGATGTTTTAACCAAATAACTGCATCGTGTATTTTTGCGTGAATGAAATGACTATAATATCAACTTGTCTTTTAGTTCCCTGCTCTTAAATTTTTGGTCTCGGTTACTTTTTACTTCGGGGCATTTTAGTCAATCAAGTACCCAACGACCGGTATTCGGTTTCACCACAGCCAAAAGCAGTTCCAACAATGAGCACTCAACCAACCAAGAAAGTAACTACAAATAATCTAATGACCATTGAGCCCTTCTGTCCACTAGCCACCTCGTCTAAATACCGCCCTCCAGTAGATTCCAAAACATCAATTTATAAAGGTCATTTTCGTCAAACCAAAAAATTGACATGGTGAATTAAGCCAAGATGGTAGTTTCAACCACTGCCACATGAGGAGTCTGCTCCCAAAAGACCTCCATATCCACGAGGAGGGAACCACCCTAAGGTACCAGATTTGTCCTTTCAGAAAAAGAACAGGGACATCTTAGGAAACAAAAACAATGTGACCCGTATATAATTACCAAGCCCAGAACGTGCTGTTGTTTAAAAAGCACGACCTGCAGTGATTCTTTCCATGCAGATTACATTTAAATGCCATGTAGGAACGCACGTGGCAGATCAATCCCAGTCAGCAATCCTTCCTCTTTAAAACACACGCTCCAGGCCTCGGCTCTTTATCCTCTCTTTCGCCAAATCAAGATCACCACACAACTGAAAGCTCTCATTTCCATCGCTCTCTTTTCTTTTTGTGTATTGTTTGGGTCTTGTCGCCGGAGATCATTTTTTCGCCGGCAGGTTGAATCTATTAACATGTAAATGGAGGATTCGGCTACTGATTGTAGGTGTTTGTTCAATTTCCAAAGTGAAAGGGTGACGTTACCTTGCCGTCGAGTATTTCGGGAACTTTAACAGTATTTTTCTAGAAATCCAAAACAAAAGCGACTTGTACTTAGCAGAGTTTAGAAGTTATTCCATGCTTTGTCTCGCAAATCAGAGTCAAATATAATACTATTGCTTTGTAATAATTAGAATCTCTGGAGGGGGACTCAACTCTTTAGAGTCTCTCCAAATTAGAAAAAAGTTGGTAAAACGCAGCAAATTCTTGGGTTTCCGTGTCGCCTTGATCTGCTGATCTTATTCTGTGTGGAGTAATCAATGCTTCTGCTGCTTCATTTAATCGATGTATAGAGTAGAGAGTTTTACAGTTCAACTAACTTTTTTTAAGGATTTCTCTTGAATTTCTTCGTCCCTCAATCTGTCTTGAGAGCGAAGATATTTTAGGTTTTTTTTTTCCCCCGAGGTTTCTGTGCACTCTGTTGGCAGAAATTAATAATTCAATAATGGAGGAGAGAATTTGATTAGAGTGAGGAGTTTTTTTTTTTTCCTGTGTTGTTGATCACTGCGATCATGCCTTTTCCAATGAAGATTCAGCCGATCGATTATCAAACACTCGATGAACCAGTGGCTCACCAGTTGGAGTCAGTAAAGCCGGTGGGGAAATCACGATTGAAGCGACTGTTTGAGAGGCAGTTCCTGAGAAATTCAGCTGCTGAAAAGGTCGGTGCCATCGAGGAGTCGCATTTGAAGGACGGCTGTAACGAGTTCGAGCCGAGTTCGGTGTGCTTGGCGAAAATGGTGCAGAACTTCATCGAGGATAGCAACGAGAAGCAACCATCAGTTAGGTGTAACCGTAATCGCTGCAACTGCTTCAACGGAAATTGTAACGACAGTTCTGAAGATGAATTTGACTCGTTTGGTGGTTTTGGCGATTCTAATCGTTCCTCCTCTGTTGAAGCAATTGAAATTCTAAAGGTAATTAAATCAATTGCGTTGGAATTGAATTTTGTTTCTTCTTGTTTTTGGTTTTGGAATTGTGCAAGTGATAGGGTTTTTATGGGCAGAGTTTGGTGCTGTGTGCAAGTGTTTGTGAGAGGAATTTGCTGGCGGATACAGCGAGGGTTGTTGATAAGAACAAGATTTGTAAGCAAAAAGATGATGTTTGGAGGAAGATCGTTGTTGATGGTCTGTTGGCTCTTGGATATGACGCTTCTATCTGCAAATCCCGCTGGGAAAAAGCCCCCTCCTATCCCGCCGGTACTTTCTCTCTCTCAAATGGATAAACCGTGTTTGTGTCTGTTTCCTAAATTGCGCAAAATATCCTTTTATATTCTGTTTGGTTCCTGGAAAAGGATAATTAACTAAAACCCAGAAAGAGAAGGAACCATTTTTATATCATATTTCGGTAACAAGTAAAATCATTGAACCCAAAATTTTCACTAGTTTAGGAATATTTTCATTTTCTGTTTGGTTCATCAGACAAAGAGCGGAAAATTGTAAATCCCTTTTTTATTTGCTGGGAGAGTACGGGGAAGAAGAGCTGTGGTTACATTTCAATGTGAGTTGTGATCAGAACACCTACATGCAATCAATTATGGGAAATAATGTATAGTTTGTTTCGAATACAGGGGAATATGAATACATAGATGTGATCATCGCAGACGAGAGGCTGCTAATTGACGTTGATTTCAGATCAGAATTTGAGATAGCTCGATCAACCAAGAGCTACAAATCTCTTCTCCAAATTCTACCTTCCATCTTCGTAGGCAAAGCTGATCGTCTCCAGAAGATTATTGCCATTGTATCGGATGCAGCAAAGCAGAGCCTTAAGAAGAAGGGCATGCCCATTCCGCCATGGAGAAAAGCAGAGTACATCAAAGCTAAGTGGCTTTCTCCTCACCCGCGAACCACACCTCCTCTTAGCTCAAAAGAAACATATCCTAAACCGGAAAAGGAGCAAACTTTGGTTCAAAATGGGGTTGCGGAGATTGAACGGAGTTGCCAAGAGAAGAATTCAGTGGAGGATGATGCTGAGATGGGCGAGTCTGTGTTTGCTTTGTCATCTGAAGGTTCCGTGGCAGAAGAGGAGGTTATGGCGGTGAAAGAATGGAAGCCACCTGATGTTAAGCCCAAAAGTTTACAAATTGGGATTAAGATGGTGACCGGATTGGCCTCTGTTATCGAAGATGAGCCTTGAAATTTTGACCCTCCTCCCTTTTTTGTCCTATTTTTTTTTTTTTGACAGTGAAGAACAGATTATATGATCCTATATGTTTTAACGGATCAAACCAGAACCCCTTCTATTTTTTGTGTAAGGGTGTGATTTTACTACTAATATAATAAAACTCTTTACTGTAAGAAGAATGGCTAATACAAATGACATAATTTCCTGAGTTTTTTTCGTTAATCCTCTCCCTGTTTCTAAGCTTCTTATTTAGAGTATAGTGTTTGTATATATATATATATATCAGATGAGGTTCATTTGATTTTATATTTTGTTCCTATCCATTGTCGGTTTCCTTGTAATCTTATTCAAGTTCTCACAGAGAAGGGGATCTTTACTCCAGAGCAATCGAAAAAAAAAAGTAACAAGAGAAGAAGGGTAATCGCCATTTTTTATTTCTCTGTTTTTCAATCCGTCATATGTCATCATCTATTGGTGATTTTATATGTTTTTCTTGAAGGCAAGCAGAACAGAATTTGATGATGAAGAGAGAATAGACTCGTGCTTTCTCGAGCTGCGTGAGGTGAGGACTGGAAGAAAACCATTTTTAATAGCCCAGCCACATGGCTCTCTGTTTTCTTATTCAATGTTTTTATTTTATTTACTCTAATTATTCTTGTGTACTTGAGCAATGAAGCTCTTCTTTTGAATTAGATATTCTGATTAGTTCGTGACAGTTTATTAGTCTCATTCATATCACAGTAGTTGCTTGTTGTGGAATCTCGGCAGAGAGGAGAGCAGTTGGTCATGGGTGGTTGGTATTTTTCTTTGCCGTGTGGGCTTGGTAAATGAGGTGGTTGCTCCACTACCTTTTTGACCATACAAGCGCTCTCGACTCTTTTTATTCTCTATGGTTTGATGATCAATGCTCGATGATCTGGACGAGGATTAAGAGGAGAAGATATAAAGATTTTCAGGTTTGTAACTCGGACTGGATTCGGTTATTTTCAACTATCAAGGTCAATGTATAATATTTTGCCTTCATATCTACGAATTTAGCATCTGTGTGACGATGCATTGCGACTATACTCCAGTCTGCTTGATTGGTTTGTGGATTGGATTGGTTCCGTTTGGAATGGGAGAAAATGAATTGCTTGCTATTTTTGTTTGGTCATTTTTGTATATAATATGGTAACCGTTGCTTGTGAAGTGTAGTCATTTTTGTATATAAATAATATGGTAACCGTTGCTTGTGAAGTGAACATTGCTCCTGGAGCCATGCGGGGATGCATGAGCTGGATCCTCAGAATGAATATGTTCTTGTCGTGCAAGCAGAGAGCTTAGATATATTTCATTATCCTTCATAAAAACTGTCTGTAGTAAAAGATGTGGTCGGCCCAAAAGGCTTGTTTTGAATGCTGAAGTGGACAGATTTTCCTTTCAACAAGTTCATGAACACTTCAATTCTATTCTATTTTTTTTTTACTAATTTTTGTGTTAAAACCCTCTTTTTAGCCAGAAGGAAACATGATTTATGCTGTGTGTGTCTGAAGAAACATTGACAAATTAAACAGTCTTCTAGTGCAGAGTCACCAAATGAAGGTGGCTTGTGACGGCAGACAGCGGTGCTTTGAATTACTTAAATTTCAAGGGGCTGACTAATGTACCCTTATCCGTTGTAGGAGACTGTAGTTGGGAAGGCGAAAGTAAATACTTGTGTAAGAATTGTCAGTTTCACCTCGTAATTACCTTGACTAATGAACTTAAAACCTTTTTCTTTTTCTTTTTCTTTTTCTACTTTTTTTAAGCAAGACAGTAAAAAGTAAAAACAATTTCTTTCCCATCGCCAACAATCGACTCCCACGAGGGCTGCTGAATTTGATTCGCTAGTCCAGTGCAACTTGCCTTGGCTGTACGCATTATGGTTCGCCCGTGCTAGGGAGCATAGAGACGAGTTAAAATTTATTTTTTTATATATTTTTTTTTGGTATCATGAAATTAAAAATAAATATTTAAAAATAAAAAATATTTTAAAAAATAATCACAGATTCATTTGCAATTAATATACACCGACAACTCTTGCTAGCATGAACCAAATTTTGTTGTTTATGTGCCTAACATGAATGTAGTGTTTATTTATGCGGTTTAACATGTATTTTTTTAACATGATTTGAGGTGTCAAGGCAAAAAACCATGTAAAAAAATATTATTTATATATATTTTTAATTGAAAAATATTGTAAATATATTTGGGGAATTGCACAAACAAAAGAAAGCTCTTTTTTTCTTTTTGGTTTATATTTTTCCTTTTTTTTTTGTGCTTTTATATCGGAGATAAATAATTGCAAGTTGTAAAATAAAGGCTTCTAGAACATGCGAGTATGCTGGTGGACTGCTCCTAGTATCCATCATTTATACAAAAAGTATTTTGCTATATACTTTTGTGATCATGAGGTCTTTTGCCGCGCGATACACGAAAAGCAAGTGCTTAAGCCATGTCCAGCTTGCATTACGAAAACCCCCCCCCTGTTATGTCTTTTATAATTTAACCAGCTTTCTCTCCCTCCTCTCATGGTGGGAGTGACAAATTTGCCAAGCTTGTGGATTCCATGTTTGGCAATTGTATCTCCGAAACCTTCCTTATTAAGACCCATGATTTCTATTTAAGAGTTGAATCGTATCCGGACAGCCACGTGGCCTATCCTGCTTTCCCACTCTACATGTTAGTAATGAATTTTGTGACTCAAATCCAAATTGTTGAACTAGAGAGGAGATCAATGCGAGTAGAATTGTCTTTCCCCGGTCTATTACCTTACATCCAACCACCGCTCCTCCCTCCCTCCCTCCCTCCCAATGCAACCACCTCGTTAATGCAGCATCGATATAGATTAAAAAAAAAAAACAAAAGAAAAATAGACACAACAAAGAATTCATAGATATGTACATAAAGACATATAAAAGGGTTCTAAATGTTTTTAGTTGGAGGGATAAAAATAAAAATATAAGATAAATTTGTCTTTGAGATAGTTTTGAAATGAATTTTTATATTTTTAAAATAAAAGGTACATGAAATATATCTTTTTCATCCTTATTTATTTTTTAAAAAAATATTAAGACAACAACTAAACATTATTTTTTTAATATTACAAATAATTTTTTGCAAGCCATTAAACGTGGGATCAATCGATTTTAGTCTTTTCAAAATTGACAAAAGAGTTGTCATATTATGATATAACCAGTCTCAAACAGTAAAAGATAAAAAATTTCATAGTTATTCTATATGTGTGTGTATATATATATAGAACAGGAAAAATTTTAAATATTAGCGTAAGAGCATCTCCAATCCAAAATGCTATTTTAAAAAGCTAAATTGATAAAATAGCATTTTGAATAGTATAAATATAGCTTATCTTACCATATCTATTTCAATGAAAAAAAAACCATTTGAAGAGCCATTTATATTAGAGTGAAAAAAATAAGTGTTTTATTATTTTTTAATATTGTTTAATGCTATTTTTTTCCACATGTCTACATTTAATTGGTCTATTTTTTTAGTGGTCCCACTTTGTTAGTTTTGGCTCTTTAAAAAGATATGTAGAAATAACATTTGTAGGAGAAAAGAGGCATTTTAGCATTTTGTTTGGCTTTTCCATTGAAATATATAAAACAAACAAAAAAAACTAAAATATTAATTTTTTATTTTTAGTTATTTATTTTGACTTTTCTATTGGAGATGCTCTAGAGGCATCTCCAACACGAGAGGCAAATGAAGAGCCAATAGTAAAATGAAGAGCCACAATAGCTTTTCTATCTTAGAAAAGTCAAACGCATTAAAAATGATTATATAACAATTACATATTTCATCTTCACAACTTTTATCAACTAAAAATATTAATATTAAATGTATTAAAGTACAAATAGTTTATTGAAATGATTTTTTTCTCATTGAAATCCGTATAAAAAACCATATTTATGCTATTTAAAACGTTATATCAACAATACATTAAATTCTTTCACATGGTCTTTCCCCTCGTTATTTTTACCTAAAATGTGTGATATGTCACATGTAATTTAAATTAAAATAAAATTTTATTTTCTTTAACCCCGCTATTGCTGTTTCCTCTTTTGACTTCTTAGCGTCGTCGCTATACTAATTAATTAAAATAAATGAATAAGCTATAATTAAAATGTAATTTTGATTTTCTGAAAAATAAATAATCGGTCTCACATAAACATTAAAAATAAATACGATTAACCGATTTTAGTAAATAACAAGATAATCTTGATAAATAACAAAATTATTAATTAACTGGAACAATAACGATGATAAGCATGTTAAAATCACTAATTTTGATTTTCTTTAATAGCAGTCATCAATATATAAAGAATTCATTTACGCGTGAGAGTTTTGTGCAGTTTCTATAATTCTTTTGTCTCTAATTTCAATTCTAACCTAACTAATCATTGGGTTTATTTGTCTTTTACATCTATTACATATTAATCCTCAGGTCAATTAAGAATCAAAAGAAAATTATTTAAATGGTGAAAATATTATGTGTAATTATGATTTTAAGAACTGTGAAGTAACGTTGATAAACACCTTATAGTTTTTTAAGCTATAATTAAAATGTAATTTTGATTTTCTGAAAAATAAATAATCGGTCTCACATAAACATTAAAAATAAATACGATTAACCGATTTTAGTAAATAACAAGATAATCTTGATAAATAACAAAATTATTAATTAACTGGAACAATAACGATGATAAGCATGTTAAAATCACTAATTTTGATTTTCTTTAATAGTAGTCATCAATATATAAAGAATTCATTTACGCGTGAGAGTTTTGTGCAGTTTCTATAATTCTTTTGTCTCTAATTTCAATTCTAACCTAACTAATCATTGGGTTTATTTGTCTTTTACATCTATTACATATTAATCCTCAGGTCAATTAAGAATCAAAAGAAAATTATTTAAATGGTGAAAATATTATGTGTAATTATGATTTTAAGAACTGTGAAGTAACGTTGATAAACACCTTATAGTTTTTTCCGATGATATATGCATACGTTTTTGACATAAATAATCTATACTAAACATTCAACATGTCTTTGTCCAAGAACTCATTTTTATATTTTAAAAATATTTTTAAAAAATTATTTACATTTACATTTTCATATATAATAATTTTAAAAAAACATAAAAAAATATTATTTTAATATAATTTCAAATAAAATATACTTTAAAAAACTACAACAACTACTATTAAACTTTTAAATATCTAAAATAAAACATCACGGACACCAGTTTTTTCGATTACCCACCTCATAAGTAAGATAATTTAACTTTTCACACGTGTTCCTGTTGGCTTTGTTTTTAAAGTAGAAGAGGAAAGTTCAGTCTAGAACCTTCAGACATAAGGTCTATGTCATACCTTTTTTTATTCCTGCAGTATATTTACTTGTAATTTTTGAATGTAAAGAGTGTCCCGTCCCTCCTCTAACCCTAGAAAACAGATCCTTGTGAACTTTATTATAAATGCTGTCGACGTGTATCGTGTAAGCTGACTATTGCATATGTGTGTTTATACATGGAGCTGGCACCGGGCTCGTGGAAGAGACCGTCAATACGCAAGGAATACTAGTAGTCGTAATACTAGTAATTAGTAAGATTCTCATTTTAATAGCTTTCTGGATCAACATCCTATAGCTTTCATTTTGATTTGTAATTTTAGCATGTATATTTTTCACGAGACAAGTGATTAAATTAATGAACACTTAATTGATAATTTCAAAAATGGAATAAATAAAATATCGATTGAAGTATCCATTAGTATATGCTGCACGTGCGTAAAAGTATCTTCAAAGCGTTAAAATAACATTTTAGTTTTGTTTATTTTTATATAGGATACTTTTGAGAAATATAGAACATGTATGGGGCACATTCACAATAACGATATATATAGGGGCAATTCTGAAATACTATGTTATGGGGTTTCGCGTAATAGTAACTCAACATGTATTTCAAAATATTAATTCAATATTTATAATTATAATTCAAATCTAAAAATAAGTTAACTTTAAATTTTGTAATATAAATGCAATATCAAGCATAATTTAAAATTTAAAATATTTTTAAATACCAAGCATAATCTAAAATTTAAAATAT